TGGAGGCGCAGTCGGCCGCGGAGCTGAAGAAGAGCAAGCGGCGGAGCCTCAATCAGCTGCTGCGTCGCAGCACCAACAAGATCACGGGCCACAAGGACCGGAAGGACACCATCGACAAGGCCAATAAGGCCGACGACGACGACAACGACGACGATGGTGAAGATAATGAAGGTGAGGCGACGGATTTGGGCGATGAGGGCAGCGGCATCTACGCCATTCCGGCGTCCATCTACACGAAGGTGACCAACCGGCGACGTTCGGTCTACCACTACAACCTGGACTCGATCCGGGAGATGATCCATCAGCACCACCAGCACCAGCACCACACGACGACCAAGTCCGATGGCGACCACGACCAACCGCAGCCGGCCCTCCCCGAAGAGAACGAAGCGCGCGATGGCGGAAAGAGCGAAGGAAAGAACGAAGGAAAGAACGAAGACGGAAAGGGGGAGGGGGAGGGTGATGACGTCATGCAGGGGATCGAGCCGCCGGTCAAGATCGTGTTCACTGCGCCGTCGTCCCCGCCGGTCCCCACGCTCAACCTCAACCAGGACGAGGGCTTCCTGTCGCCCGACGCGCCCAAGGCCACGCCGCTGCTGCCGCCGCCGTGCCACGTCAGCGTCAGCTCGACCGCGACCTCGGCCTTCGCCTCGTCGTCGCCGTCGCCGTCGACCAAGACAGCGACAACGACGACAGAGAGCGAAGCGGCGGCGGCGAGGAATTGGCGGCGCACGGTGCACGACAAGCGGGACAAGATGCTGCGGATGCGGGTGATGGACAGCAAGTTCGCGGGGCAGGCCAAGAACGTCAAGCGGGCCTTCCTCTGGTGCGAGGAGAACGTCGCGCCGGTCACGCTCGTCAAGGTCGTCAAGGCGCAGGCCTTCGCCAAGCGCTTCCTCGCCCGACGACGTACGTTGTGTGCGTGCGTGCGTGCGTGCGTGTTCCTTTCTTTGTGCATTTTCTTTATACATTCGTAGATTTTAACTCCTATTAAACTAAATGTGCGTTTTCAGTGCGCAAGCGTTTGCAGATTGCGAACGAGCTGTTGGTGACCGAGAAGCACTACGTCGACATCCTCGATCTCCTCGTCAAGGTGCGTGTACTGCCAACAGCACAGCCCCCACCTTCCCTGCACCGTGCTCGTTGTGTTTTAACTCCGACACACGTCCGCCACACTTCATCGCCACTTCGTCAGGTGTTCCTCCGGCCTCTGCGCGAAGGCGACCTTCTGCCGCCGGAGAGCATCCTCGCCATCTTCGGCAACACCGAGACGCT